ATCAAATTACATGGTTTCAATGAAAGAAAATTCAGAATAAGAGGCAGAATCTCTGCAAAAATACTGGCAGTTGATTCTATGTTTGCAGAACAAAAACAAAACGGCACGCATTAGGACAGATTGACGAGACAGTACCACTGTTTCTCAGATAGAACGCTCTCATTTCATTTGGAGCCCTCTGTTAGGACCAAGCCAAAGCGATTGGCATGCGTTGTGGAGCTACCACCCCAACTATGGTAAGGTAATCAAATCGACCATGTTTGTGGATCATTTGTAGTGTTTTGTGTACTTATTTTCCTCGCCTGACGAGTAAGCTGTGGTTGCACCAGCGTCATTCCACCTGGTGATTTGTCAGACCGATTTATCTCCATTTATCCATTATGCTCGTATAAATTTCCAGGGATTAGCGAAAAATGCTAATCAACAACAGTTTATAGATATGATTGTGAAGTGACTCATTGCAGGTCAGTGATCTCTTTCTGGACAGATGAACCAATTAGACCAGTAAACGAATGACGGGTGTTCTAAAAGAATCCCTGAATGCAGTTAAACTAACAAGTGATTTCACTGGCTCACCACTAATTAATATATCCAACAAAGGAGAGTTGCTGCCCCCAGCTTTATTCACATTTGTGTACTCATTCTGATGCGTTTGTAAGGCAAAGTACATTGCGTAGAGGCAATTGTCTTGAAGGATTAAAAAGTATCAACCAAGTTAGTTGCATGGCGATGGTACTGGCGCTGTAAGGAATGTCTTTGTCAGCCTTTCGGTTCACACAAGCCATCGGATGAGAAAAGGAACGATGTTTCGCAGTGTAACATGTGCCCCCCCCCGCACCCACTCAAGGGGCTACATCCCTCATACTGGTCCCTGCAGAGGCGAAAGGCATTCGCAGATTTTCGCCTCGCAGAACTAATTGGCTCATACAATAAAACCAAGGTGTTTGTGATTAGTTCTGCGCGGTCAGTTACTTCAGACTAATTGTTTTTGGTACCTCATTATCCCGTCCGTTTCTTATTACCATTTACACCCTATCCCTCAACTCCCATGCATGTTTGTGACTTCCAACGGTTTTCAGGATCAGTGTGCTTGTTCTAAATTTACCCTTCACTAAATCTCAGTTTCATCGGATTCATTCATCAGGCCACAAAAACGTCTTCAATAGTTTATAGATTTAGAATTATAAGCTACTAATACGCCACCCAATATAAGTGGCTTATTTTTAGGTGAAGATACAGCTGAATATGGAGCACGCGAAATTTCCAATTTTGCTTCGTTTCTTACAGAACATTCAGAGGGTGAAAAATGGGCTAAAAGGTGATCTCCAGCGAAGACGAATCACTATGACTATAACGATAAAACGTACCATGGAGGATGTACCGGAAATTGACCAATTGTCCAGTGTCGGCTGTGAATTTTGCGAAGAATGACGAGGTGGTAAGGGGCTGGATCGAGTGCGGGGTGAAATAGTCGTACTTCTACCAGTGCATAACTGGGGTTTTACAACTAGGCATAAACCACCACTGTTGTCGGTCGATGGCCACTGTATAGGATCAGTTATATTGATTAAGCAATTCAGATTCGACTCAAACGGATTGCAATCTGAAAAAAGGAATGAGAAGGGAGGGATATTTGCGGTTTTACATTACAATGAATCTGTTCAATTTCTGACAATAAGTTTGCAAATCAGGCTTGTTCTATACCCTTGGCGCATAAAGTAAAACGACCCGATAAGCCATCGGGTGAGAAACTGGGTAAGTAGTAGGCTGGAAGTCTACCTGTGATGGCATTATGTGCTGTATGGCAGCCCTTTGATTGGCCGCTTCTCCCTTCCTGAAAATTGTATCTTTGCATACTCAATCAAAGAAAGTAAAATGAAAGATGAGGCCCCCACAACGAAGTTGGAACAATTATATCAATCGTACCAGGACATATCCATCTAAAACAAACCACTGCCCAAAAGGCAATCGTTAACAGCGAATCCTATGAACTTCGCATTGCGCAGCATATTTCATACTCACAAGTGAATGAGGTAGTGCGTGTGGTAATTCCGACCGGTGTTGGGCTAAATTACCGGCCACAGCAAGGCACGGGACTGAGATCATATTTTGTCAAAGATTGCAAGGAGGCCGGTGAATTGTGAGGGTTCACGTGGTAATTGATTATGACTAGGTAACTTCATTTAATATATACAACAGGTTGTCAGCTGCGATTCAGAGAAACTGGGTATTGAAACATGTTTAAACAGACTGATCGAAGATGAAGCGTTTCATTTTATCCATGGCTCGATTGTTTTCAATGTACGGAATGCGACTCAAGAGAGAATTATGTTCCATAGCCTCCCCGAAATCTTCGAACTATCTCTCCCTTTCTACAATGAATATAAATTATTAGTTGCGATTCACCGATTGCATTGTGAAAAGATTAAGACAAGAGAGCCAGGTGGTTTACAGGTCTGAACCCCGCCATTACCGACCACCACTAACACTTATTGCTTGGTAGCTTTCTGTTAACCGGACCGTCCATAGACCATAAGTTCAATTATCATTATTAGTGGGAAAAATCATGATAAAACAAATGTGGAACAAAGCTGTTAAACTGACCTTGCAGTTCAAATTCCGTGGTACGTTGCGCACGGAAACTTAACAACGGATCCAATGGGGCCCCAGTATGGGGATTTCGAAGGTAATATTGATTGGGTATCAGATTTCGCATTGCACACACCTGAACATCAATCCGTGAATGAATGAATGAGGAAAATTTTGGGTAAGCCTTCTCGCTTGAATAGAATACAATGATGAAATCGTAAACAAAAAAACCTCATTCCAAGAATCAGTTTTGAACTGGGAACATTGTGGTATAAATGGAAAACGTTGCGTGTTCCCTCGATCCTGACAGAGACCAATAACATTGCTGTTTAGCCTATTGCTTTTTGGACAGCCAACCCATCTGCAACCAGAACGTTTGCGATTCATTCATTATCAATCAGACCACTGAACAATCTCTCCCTCTCCAACTAATTGTATGTACAATCCTTCAGGAAAAACAGGTGATTAGAAGCCTAGGAAGTAGATGACAACAACTTTTGTAAATATAAGTTTTTGTATAACGAATCGTACAAGAATTGAACCAGTGCAAAAACGTTTCCCACAAGAAATGACATCCACTTACATGGAAACCCCCTAAATTCGTCCAGCGGTGAGCGCAAATCGACTATATTGTTATCAGCTACCAATGTCCGGAGATCTATTCAAGACTGCTGCCTGTATTGATCAACACACGTGCATACGGACTAAGCTCTGTTTTGAGCAGCATTCTGCCTGCACCTAGAAGACAACTGCAATAAGCCACCAAAAACGGATACCTGCCATACAATTTAAGCAACGGCCTCAAATCGATCTTCGAAGTAGGGCTCCCTCACCACCCCTCAGTTCAACCACTCACCGAATGACTCAGTGACCAATGGAGGATAGTCGAATATCGATCAAAACTACGATGGAGTCCGGCACACTATCTGGGTACAAACGATCCATCACCCCGACGTCTGTTGCTCGTGTTGCCATTCCTCCAGATGGTGAATATGACCTTCCAAGCAAATTCCTGAAAGCCAGCTCATCGAACGCCTTAGAAATGACCGCGATAATTAATGGGTAAGAAAGTGTAAAGATATGAAGACGGCTGCAGCTATTGGAAACCGTCACAACGTTTTCCGATTAATTAGAGGTAGGGGTTCACGGAATGCAGGCGTTGGTGAGATGATCGGGGAACCATATGGTAAACTGATTCAAATTTAGCCACGCATTATTGAGCAATGGGCAGAACATTTTCAGTGGCCTCTGTTTAGATCAAATTTCTCGCTTCCCATTTCAACTAAGAAACTAGGGTCATTTTATATCACTTCTCAAAAGGTATAAAGCCTCCGACCTGGATGGGTTGTCCCAATCGACCTTCAGGGATGGAGGTTCAGTCTTAGTCTAAGAGTTGAAGAAACTACTGGTTTCAATAACGGCAAGTGAACAGGATATAAGTGACTGATGTGAATCAGTCATTTTATCAAAGCTTCAAGTCTTCATGCAAAAATCGCAGATGAATTAGTTTGATCAGTATCATCCACAAAATTCTTCCTGGCATTATGCTCTCTCGGTTGTGACAATTTGGAACATATGTTTGTTAATTCTAGAGAGAGAAAGAGAAACAGTGAATTCGTCGCCAGGTAGAAAACTTAGCTTCCTTCATTGGCAATCGAACAGTTTGGTCTTTGCCAAGGTGGTATCCCGTAACGTCTGTCTCTAGTTGCCCTTCTGCCACAAACTCCTCTGGATCTCAGCAGAAAGTAGAAGTACTTTTAACCCCGTTTGTCCCCAGCTCCACATGATTGACCGATATTTGTCTCCTTTTATACCACCAGAGGACAAATCTCTGTCTTTTATGTCCACAAGCAGCCCGGATGGGATTCTACGTCTTCAAAAGATGTATCACTGAATTGGGCCCTCTACTCCGAGGTCCACTTGTCGTTTTTTGAAAGTTCACGGTATATTCTGAGTCCTAGATTATCTTTCCATTCCACAAACGTAGTGACTTTTTCGATCCCAATCAGCATCACTCAAACGAACGTTAACGAAAACTGTCATCATTGACCAAATTCGTTTACATTCCGAACATGGAGAACTCCTGAGCGATGGCCAATACCACCTTCACCTGCGCAACCCCACCGATAATCAACCACCTCTGGTTTCTCACCGTTGGTCAGCTTCACTCAACAACGGAGAATCCCACACGCTTTAGTTTGACATCTCGAACGTATTTAAACATGCTTTGCGTCAAAGACTACTAGAAAACCCACTCACATTTTGGTCTTCCCCGACCCTAGTATCGTGGGTATCAAGCAATATCAGTAACCGTACTCTTTCTGAATCAGTTGGTAGAATTTCCTCCAGTCCCTTCCTATGATTTTCGATGCACCCCACGGTTCTATACTTTAACCAATCTATGACTTCTTCTCATCGATGGTCTACTTTCTTTGAGCTCTAATCCAGTACATGTATTTTCTGACGGTGCCATCATACACTGTTTTCAGATCCGTATTCCCGCTCCGTTGCCACCAACATCAATCGTAACAGTTATGCCCTCACAATACCATCCAGCCACTTCCAACGTGGAGCATTTCCCCACCTGGGGTTCATATAGTGGTTCTCTTTTAAACACTTGCAAAGCTCCCCCTCTCTATGCACTGCCCAAAAATATCGACTATTCTTCCCTCAGCTTAATTTTGATTTTGTCCTTCCCAGTTCCACAAACTGGTGCTTAATCTTGAGTCTTCCGTCTAACTCCTACGTTCCACAACGTGTTCATGAAAAGGGCAAGAGCGGTTTCGTAATTGGCAGTAGACGGTTTACACAATTCAACGGACCTTATTATACAAAGCATAGATTCTCCCCACACTCGAGTAACGAGGTCATGATCGTGTGTGATTATACTTTCATTTTCTCCCTATCTTAAATTGACCATATTCACATTGAGGTATTAGCCTAGCGCACGCCTTCTCTTTAGCGCCCTTTCTTATCTCAGCAACTCCAATAACCCTAATCAAGTGAGTGCTTTTAGGTACCCGCCATCCAGGTTTTCATACCCCTTATTTCACTCAGGACAGACAAATCACGCAACACCGTTCCAATGACTTGCAAACTTTACTTCAAAAAAAATTTGAAAGCCTTCCCCAACCATTCTCTTCGTTAAAGTATGTTGTGGGTCCACGGATTTTATCCCGTNTAATACACCCAAGTGTGATGAACAGTAGACGGGGCGAACCTCATAGTCACGAGGACCTGCTGTTCAATGGTGGAAACCGGCAACCCAATCCCCGGGCCTTGGAGTGGCGGACCACATAAGGCCCCGCTTGGTCAGGCGTGGTATAGAACCGGTCGACAGCAGGAGTGCATACCACCAAAATAAGGTAGCGGCGGCGGTACTCGAACCTCGGACCACAGGGACCAAAGCACACCACTGCGCCACCACCACCCACATTATGTAATAAATGAAGCATGAAGTGATCTCTTGGTAAAAAATAGTATGCTGTATTAGAATAAGAGCAACAAACTGAAAGCTTTGTTCGTATAATTCCGACTGGTGGGGGTTGATATTA